TTCAGTTGTACTTTTCATTGTTCTCAACATAGCATTCAAAATAAAATTAAAGATCTCAATTTGTGGTGAAAATAAAATTAACCACAAGACTATTCATTTTTATTTGAAAAATAAAGGGAATTTCTCCTCGTGTCTTGATCAACAGTCCCTCAGGTAAAATAGATGATTCACTTCAAGGCTGTTTGGTGGACATTACTGAGTGCAAATTAGCTTCTGCATTTGTTTACAAAGTAAACATGAAAGTCGCTATATGAACTGGGAGGATTATTATTATTTTGCTGCATAGATAGTTGAAATTAATAATAATCCTTGCATTTGATATTAGTGCCTTATCATGTCTTCAAGATGTCTCAAAGCGCTTCATAGCATATACTGTAAAGTGAATTGACTGTATATATTTTGTGGGCAAATTGGGGAAGCACTTCTCAAAAGTTTCCGTGAAGAGTATTGATTGTTTATTTGTAGGCAAATGAGCATATATAATAATATTGCATCTGATATAGCACCTTATCACATCAGCATAAGGTCTCAAAGCACTTCACAGTAATTTGACCGTGAAGTTTAGGAACTGTACTTTGTATGGGCAGCAATGTCTCAAGAACAGCCATGGATACATTCACCTAAAAATACAGTCTATAGTAAATTATGTGAAACACTTTGAGACAAGATGTGAAATGCAAATTTTTTATTATTATAATATTGAATGAACCAATTATCTCAGGAATTGTTGACCAGGTCACCAGGAAAACTCTATTTTTCTTTTTGAATAGTGCTATGGGATTTTTTTTTAACATCCACTTGAACAGGGACCTTGGTTAACGTCTCGCACGAAGGACTGCAGCTCTGATAATACAGGGCTTCCCCAGCACTGCATTGGTGCCTAGGTTGCACTATAGCAACAGTGTTCTGATGTTTACTAATAATACTTATTTTTATTACAGTATTGTTATAGCATCAAATCTGTATTAATAACAATAATAAAAATATAAGACTGTAAATGGGTTTTAAATGTAATAACAATAATACTGTAATAATAAATAAGTATTATTAGTAAATAGGCTTTAAATGTAACATTAACACTAATAATAAATAAGTATTATTAGTAAACATCAGAACACTGTTGCTATAGCAATAATACTGTAGCTGTTAGTGAGCACTGTACATGTATTTCATATGATCATCTGATATTTGCACATATCGACATTGGGATGAATGTAAATTTATTTCTACAAAACATCGATGAACAAATAAATGTTTTGCAACTCTTTAAATTAATGGATAGCTACAAATTCAAGCTAACCTGAGAAAAACATTACAAGCCTGCTGGATTGAATAATCTGGAATTACAAAACTGCTCTCCTTTCCAATACATGAATTCGGCATTTCAGTGTCTCAATGCAATTTTATTAACAGGAATGTTTAAACGTGTGCAATATGCACTCTAAAATTCTTACCCAGGAAAAGCCAATACAGCTGATAGCATTGGAGAGCATGTCACCCAGCATACCCGGCACGGAGTTTCCCGTGGGGAAATAGGCATGGAAATGTGGACTGTGCCAGTGAGTTATCTGAAACAATAAATGTTTAAAAAATATATCATTTCAAAAGCCTTTAAGACCGCAAAACTCACATTGACGCAGTTTTTAAAAACTCTCGACAGACTTGCTTTTTAATCTTATTACACATTTAGCTGAATATCACAACCACATTAAAGCAATGTTCCATTTGGCTCAGGTCGACCTGCAATTAATTTAGTTTAAATAAAGAATATCAGGCAGCTCAGCTCTTCCATGTTTTATTTTAAACCCTAAAAAGTTTTATTTTAAGTCATCTCAACAGCAAACACTTTACATTCTATGTTGGTTAAAGGGTGACGGAAGATGTTCAAAATTTCAAATCCTCCCCAATGCAAAGTAATTCTGTTGCATCGAATCTGTATTAATAACAATAATAAAAATAATAAGACTGTAAATGGGTTTTAAATGTAATAACAATAATACTGTAATAATAAATAAGTATTATTAGTAAATGGGCTTTAAATGTAACAATAATACTGTAATAATAAATAAGTATTATTAGTAAATGGGCTTTAAATGTCTGGGGGCAAGGATAAGGCATGTTGCAACAGTGAAGGGTCTGCCTGTGCTCACCCCTGGCATGACCACCCTCTCCACATCCTTCATCACCTCCTCGAAGGAGTGGGGCTGCTCGGGGGCGCTCTCTGGGATGAGATGGCGCAGGTAGCCGGGCTCCACAGACGGGTAAACGGGACGCTCCTCAATGGACTGCAGGTAATCGACCACATAATCCACCATCTCCTTCCCTCTGGTGCGGAATTCCTCGTAGTCCATGGCGCTTTATTCTGGCTAATAGAGACAAGCTGAGGACACTCTGTACAGGGAGGGGAGGAGAGAAGAGGCGCTCACACACCTGTTACACTCACACTCACTGCACGTCCAACACACACCTGTTACACTCACACTCACTGCACGTCCAGCACACACCTGTTACACTCACACTCACTGCACGTCCAGCACACACCTGTTACACTCACACTCACTGCACGTCCAGCACACACCTGTTACACTCACACTCACTGCACGTCCAGCACACACCAGTTACACTCACACTCACTGCACGTCCAGCACACACCTGCTACACTCACACTCACTGCACGTCCAGCACACACCTGTTACACTCACACTCACTGCACGTCCAGCACACACCTGTTACACTCCCACTCACTGCACATCCAGCACACACCTGCTACACTCACACTCACTGCACGTCCAGCACACACCTGCTACACTCACACTCACTGCACGTCCAGCACACACCTGTTACACTCACACTCACTGCACATCCAGCACACACCTGTTACACTCACACTCACTGCACGTCCAGCACACACCTGCTACACTCACACTCACTGCACGTCCAACACACACCTGCTACACTCACACTCCCTGCATGTCCAGCACACAGGGCTGGCCAGGCTGGGCTGCAACACTGCACATTGATAATGGGTAGAGAGGGGTTTCCTCAACCGATAACAACATCTCTTTCACTTAATATCGTGTTCAGATGTTCACAATTTCAAATCCCCATCGCCCAACCTGATCAAACTCACTCACACAGGTCTCTCTCACCTGACACACTCTGCACTAATCTCGCCTTCTCTTCATTTAAAAACACTCACTCACACACACACAGTACCTGCTCAGCACATTGGTTCTATAAATACAGGATACTAAATCCTCTCTAATGCAAAGTAATCCGGTGCTTTCAACCAGTGTAACTTGCAGGGTTACAGCCTGGATTGCTTCACTTCAGGTGGTGAGGCAATTTTTTTGGCAATGCTGACAAACCGTTGGTTCGGCTGTGAATGAACTCTACTCACAAACACACATACAAACACACGCACACATACAAACACACACACACACATACAAACACACACACACACATACAAACACACACACACATACAAACACACACACACACACACAAACACACACACACACACAAACACACACACACACACATACAAACACACACACATACAAACACACACACACATACAAACACACAAACACACACACACACACACATACATACAAACACACACACATACAAACAGAGACACAGATACACACAGATACAAACACAGACAGACACACAGATACACACACAGAGAGACACACACAGACAGACACACACACAAACAGACAGACAGAGACAGACAGACATACCCAGACAGAGCTATGCACAAGCTTCCCTGTGATGTACCTGGTAGTTTCTAGCTTTCCGTTAGTGTTTTCCCCTAATAAAGGGGTCGAGTTCCACCCACACAGCCCCCACACAGCCAATCCCTCACTCCCATCACAGCCAACATCCCACAGACATTCCCCTTTGCCAATAACACGATCTCGCTTTATCCGATCCTCAGCCTCTGGGCAACTTGTTCGTGGAACAGCGACAGCAACGTAGTGTTTATGTTAAATGCAATGAACTTTGCACCAAATTAAAACGTTGCCAAAGATCATTTGAATGTAACACACGAAATAGGGAGATAAGAGAATTAACTCGGTTAAAGATCCACTAAATAAAGACTGAGCTAACAAATGCATGACAGATATAAGAGTGTTCCAGACCCAGTGTGGGGATGGGGTCAAAGCAGCAGGTGCATCAATATTTTAAAATTATTATCCCAGGGAGACAGTATTGTAACTAGGTTTTGTTGGATACCCTTTAAGAAAATAAGGAGCAATGAAAGGGATCAGGAGGTAGAAAAATAGGAAAACTGACTAGGGTTTTTTTATTGGTTGGATTGATTGATTGATTTGCAACTTGTGAGCTGAGAATAAAGTTTTCTGCACATTGGGCGTTGAGACATAATAATAATAATAATAATCCTTGCATTTGATATAGCGCTTTTCACATCGGGAGGACGTCCAAGGCGCTTCACAGAACACACTGTAAAGTGAATTGACTGCATATTGGTGGGCGAATGCGGCAGCCAATTGCGCACAGCAATGTCCCACAACAGTCGTAGATTGAAAATGACCAATTTATTATTGTTCTTGGTTTTGGAGGGATTATTATTAGGTGTGTGGAGTAAGGAAACTTGCCAAGGTTTCGCCCTGACCTGCCTGGAATTGAACTCAGGTCTCTCACTTGCAAAGCAAGTGCTCTAACCACTGAGCTACAGGACTCCAAGGAGACAAGGAGATAGACAGCATAAATATTGATGATAAGACGTTGAGTGAAAACAAAAGAGAGTTTTCTACAAGTTGAATGTTGAGAGCATAACAGATTTAACAGCAGCTCAGTGGTTAGAGCACTCGCTTTGTTTCGCCCTGCCAGGCAGGGCGAAACCTTGGGCAAGTTTCCTTACTCCACACGCCTAATTATAATCCCTCAAAAAAAAAAAAAAAAAAAATAATTAAAATTGGTAATTTTCAATCTACGACTGTTTGTGGGACATTGCTGTGCGCAATTGGCTGCCGCGTTCGCCCACAATATACAGTCAATTCACTTTAAAGTGTGTTCTGTGAAGCGCTTTGGGACGTCCTCCTGACGTGAAAAGCGCTATATCAAATGCAAGGATTATTTTATTATTATTAAGTGAGAGACCTGAGTTCAATTCAGGCAGGGTGAAACCTTGGGCAAGTTTCCTTACTCCACACACCTAATAATAATCCCTACAAAAACAATAATAAATTGGTCATTTTCCAATTACGACTGTTTGTGGGACATTGCTAGTGCGCAATTGGCTGCCGCGTTCGCCCACAAATATACAGTCAATTTACTTTACAGTGTGTTCTGTGAAGCGCATTGGGACTCCCGACGTGAAAAGCACTATATCAAATACAAGGATTATTATTATTATTAATAGTAAAAAAGAGATTAATTGAACAAGATTGAGACACGAGAGGAAAAAAAGAAACCAAAAAGGGGAAGATGTTGGATATCCTTTAAGAAAATAAGGACTAATTAACAAGCACCAATGAGAAGGGATCAGTAAAGCAGGAAGCAGGAAGAACTGACTATAGGGTTTTTGGTTGGATTGTTTGATTTGAAAGTTGTGAGCTGAGAATAAAAGAGTTTTCTACAAGTTGAAGTTGAGAGCATAACAGATTTAACAGCAGCCCAAACATGAACATTGTGTATGACATTGATATTTAAACCACCACTTTCTTTGGGAATGATATCAAGAAAACCTGTAACATCTTCCATAAGTATTACTCCTCTCCCCACCCCCACCTACTAGAACCAGGTCCAGCTATGTATGTTACATTTAATGAAAGACATTTTTATTTCTCCCTATGATAACTGATTTTTAACTTCAAACCTTTACTTTTTAAAATTGGGCCATACCTTATGAAGAAGTGGAAATCTTCCCACAGCATGCACACTCCCCACATTGAGACATTCAACGTAAACAAAGGACACTATATAAATCCAACTTGTTGCTGTTATACTGAATCTGTGACTCTTGCTGGTGAATTGCACTATATAGCCACGGAAGAAACCCAGAATATCTTCAGATTGTGGTAAAGCTGTACATAAGAACATATGAATTGCTAAACGAAAAAAAAACAAGATCCATTTAGTACGCTTTCCACCTTCCTTGTGGTCACATGCACATATGTCCCAAACTACCTATGTACTATATCCCATGATGTTATTTCCCAAAGAAAACTAATCTGTGTTTGAAAGAATCAAAATTTCCTGCTTCAACCGTCTCCTTAGGGAGGCTTTATGTTTGTTTCATGAAAAATAAGATGCAGTCTATGTAATTAATTTAATTTAGACTTTTTAAAATCAAACTCCTCATTTGTGGAATGTAAATGGGATTCCATTATCACCAAATACTTCATCTGTTTACATTGTTTCTGAGGGACATTGCAATTCTGGTCACTTCCTTCAGATTCTGAAAGAAATTGCTTTTATGTAGATTAATATGAACCACAAACTTCACCAATCAAGATATGTAGGGATTCATTTCATTCATCGGATTAAGTTACTTTGTTCCAATGAATCTTTTGCTGATTCAGCTAACGGCTGCTGAAAGGCTGATAAGAAATAAAATTGACAGCAATCTGTAAGCATCCCAGATCAGGAAATGTTCCTGTTTGCAGGAGTATTTACATTTATATTAGTGACCTTTTCAGAAATACTAGTGAAATCTGTACAATACTGGAAAAACACAAGGGGAGCCATGTCCCATAAGCATTCTAGGCTAAACAATACAAATAAATAAACCAATTGTATTGTCTACAGAAAATATTTAGTGACTGTATTTTGTAGACGAATGCAGCAGCCAGTTTGTGCACAACAATGTCCCACAAACATAATTTTTTTAACTGGGGGATTGTTGGCCAAGACACTAGGTACCTTCTCTTTTCAAATAGTGTAATGGAATCTTTAACATCCACCTAAATAAGCAGATGTGACCATGATGTAACATTTAAACCAAAGAATGGCACCTCTGACATGCAGTGTTCTCATACTGCATTGAAATGTCAACCTAAACTTTGTGAGTTCATGTCCCAATCTAGGGCTTGAACCCACAACCTTCTGAAGCAGAAGCAACACTGCTACCAAATGGACCAGTCAGGCACCTAAGTTTGTTTGCAGACATTATACAAAAATGTTTTTGTTACAGATCTGATATTGTCAACATACGTTACAACCTGATACAAGAGTGACATGATAATTGGTGCTAAATCAAATGCCAGATTATTATCATAAGTAGAATGAGCAACAACAATTTGACATTCCTATAGTGCCTTTCACATTGGGAGGACGTCTCAAAGGTCAATCACAGAACCGTCTGGGAGCCTGGGTTGGGGTGTGTGAGGCTGAGGGTAGAGTCAGAGAGATGGAGTTGGGTGGCATCTATGTACATGTGGAAGTGGACCCACAACTACTGATGATGCCACCAAGAGGGAGCACATAGGTCCCAAAAAGGAAAGGACTGAGCATGGAGTCCTGAGGAATGCCACAGGTGACTATGCGGCGAAGGGAGGCCAAGCTGTTAGAACGCAGCAGGATAATCAACTTTAATGTCTGGTTACAAAGGTTATGTACAGGAGAAAAATTAGTAGGTAACTGGGGAAGATTTCAAGTAGACAAGGCGTTTATAAGACAAATGGTTAATACCTCACTAAACGGGGAGTGAAGTAAATGTTGGCACAAAACAAAAAAGCAGCAATTTTTATTTGAGTAACAAAAACCAGGATCGCTTTTTTCCACCTCCGCCACATAAGCCGCCTCCCTCTGTACCTCACAACCAATGCAGCTTGTCACTTCCTGGCTGGACTATTTCAATGCCCTCCTCGCTGATCTCCCAAACTCCACCACACACAAAATTCAATTAATTCAAAACTTCACCGCCCAAATACTCGTATGAAGCTCCATACCCCATCACGTCAGTCCTTGCCAGACTCCACTGGCTCCCACTGACCAAAAGGGTCGATTTCAAGATCCTCTCACTCGTTTTCAAATCCCTTCATTCCTTTGCACCTCCTTACCTATCCAATCTGCTTACCCCGCACTCCACCACCTGCTACCTCCGCTCGGCTGGCTCCAGGCTCCAGATTGTCCCTCGTCCCATCTGCTCCCCCATCAGTGGCCGTGCCTTCAGCCACTACCCCAAAACTCTGGAACTCTCTCCCTCAATCCCTGTACCTTGCCCTCTCCCTCCCACCTTCAAATCCTGCCTGTAGACCTTTGTTTTTGATCGTGCTTACAGTCATCTCCCTCTACCTCTCCCCCTGGCTCGTTGTCAACTGCAAAGAGCTCAGGGACACTACCCCGCATGAAGCACGCTATATAAATACAAGTTGTTGTTGTTGTTAAGTACTAAGAAGTGTTTAAGAAACTGAATTGGGAAT